TTTTTTTTTTTTTTTTTAAGTTCTTGAAAACTTGTTTGGCTCAAATTATCTTGTCCAGTTAATTTTATTTCTTCAACTTTCCATTAATGAAGACTCCAAATTCCAAAAAAAATTACATGTTTCATTAGCTGTATGATATATATATATCAGATGTGTGTATCTATTATGGAATGCCTAGCTTGTGTAAAGCACTATTTTCCTATAATACTGTCTACTTACTTATTTATTTTTGAATATTATTAGAGGGTCACTGACTATGGATAACAGAGAAGGACTCAGTGTTTCTTTCAGGAAAAATGATAGGGTTTGGGACTAGTGAACAAAAATTAAAAGAGGAATCAGCCTTGCAGGCTGGAGAAAGTGAAAACAAAGAATTGACACAAGACAAACATTGGACAGAGGTATAGCAGAGGATAGGGGAACTCCAACCATGTGACTGAGCAGAACTAGAATCATGGCCTCTCAGGGCTGAAAAACATTGAAAGCTCATCAAATATTCTTTGTAACATTTCCAGTAGTTATTTGTCCAACCTATGCTTGATACTTTTAGTTGTGGGGGAAATAATAGTTCCCAGGCAAATCCATACCATCTTTACTAGCACCAGTTGTCATCGAGATGATTCCAACTCATGGCAACCCCATGTGTGTCAGAGAAGGACTGTGCTCCATGGGGTCTTCAATGGCTGATTTTGAGAGGTAGATCCATAAGCCTTTCTTCCAAGGAGCCTCTGTGTGGCCTTGAACTTCCAATCTTTTGGCTAGCAGCTGAGCTCGTTAACTGTTTGCACCACCCATGGGCTCCATACCATCTTGTAAAAAGTGATTTATTTTAAAAAGTGATTTCTTGTATTGATCCAAAATCTATCTCCCTCCGGCTTCTACTCAGCATTCTTATTTTACTCCCTTGGGTCTGTCCTTAGTCTAACTTATCTTTCTCATGACATCACTTCCAGCCAAGTCTTCTATACTACATTTAGGCTGCGTACTACGCTGCTTCCATCTGCACCTCATCTGCTGTGTCTTCTAACACACTTAGGGGCAAAGGTCCTCTTCTAAATGAGATGCAGTCTGCCTTTTCATAGACACAAGCAAGTGAAAGCAACTGAAAGGAGACCTGCCTGTCCTTAGGAGTCTAGGTGGATCCTACAGGAGGAAAGAGAAAAGTAGGAGAAATGTCTACAGAGCAGTGTCCTCCCTGCTCTGTGCACCAATAAAAACTTAACATTAGTGCCAGTATTATCCTTACTGGTTGCAGTAAAGAGCTTCGGGTGCATAGAAAACAGTGAACGGGAATGCTTTGCTGCTCTCATCTTAGTTACTCAGAAGGGGATTTAAGGTCGTGGTTAAGAGCTTGGCTACTAACCAAAAGGTTGGCAGTTCAAATCCACCACCCACTCCTTGGAAACCCTATGGGGCAGGTCTGCCCTGTCCTATAGACAATGGGTTTTTTGGGTTTTACCCACAAGAAGGGTTGGGAGGAAAAACTAAATTGTGCTTCTGAGTCAATTCTCTACATTTTTATCATTGAAAAATAGAAAGTGGAAACTTCTCATATTATCTAAAGCCATGATATGTGTAAGTTAATTGATTCTTTAAAGTAAGGGTTCATTTGCATATTTAGGGGAAAATAAGATAAGCCAGACAGCAAGGGTTTGAAATTTAGGAAGTTTACCCTATAACTTTGGTTTTGTAACATTGTAATATTGTTATAGCATAAATGTAACAACTGAAACTGAGGATTTTATTGTGAAAATAAATTTTAGGAGGGCTAAAGTTAAATAAAATGGGAAAGATGAAGAAAGAACATATGGGAGAAATAAACCCATGAGTTTAGGTTTGACCATTTTATAGAAACACATTCATGGTGCTTATACCCAGCTAGCAGCTGGAATTGTACATCTGGAGCTTAAGAATGATTTAGATTTTGAAATCATCTTCATATAAATGGGAGTAAAACTATGGTTGATGATAAATTAGTGAAGGCTGAGAATATACAAAATTGAAGTTTCATGAGAATATGTGAGAGCATGTTTACGTTTTCAGAGGACAGAAGAGAGGGATAAAGGAGACGGGAACTGGTCAGAGTTAGGGGATGAACTTGGAGAAATATCGGAAAGTCAAAGGAGAGAGAATTTCTAGAATTTTCTAGAATTTTGTTTCTAGTGTTAGATGCTATAAGGAAAGAAGGAGAAATGAGAAGTGAATGGACTATGGGGTCACTGTGGTGACCCTCTGGGGCTCCCTTTAGTTAGCATGGTCAGGGAAGAAGCTGGAACA